TATAAATATATATATATATATATATATATAAAATTATATTCGATTTATTCGCGCGCGGCGACGTAACGAAATGAGTGTCCTCCCCAGGCAAAATTGACGCTTCGAACGTGCCGGTGTAGTCCGTTTTGTCATCCGGGGTTACTCGGACGACGTCGTCGACAATCGGGTCAAAAACGCGTTAAAATTCAAATTTCACAAAATCTCGACCCGCGATCGATCGTTTCAAGAAATTTAACTCTAGCATTGGACAGGTAACAGTGTAGACGAAGCGAATTGAGGCGATTAGACGCGCCGACTCTCTGAATTGTGAAGTTTTGTGCGCGGGAGTGCGAATTATGCAAAAGGCCACCCTAAGGCTCAGGAAGGTCCTATAGGGAATCCCTTTTGGGTTTTCTCATGTTGGTTTCATCCTTATAAGTGCTAGAAGTTGATACCACACACGCGAAATTCCAGAAGAGGAAATTCCAGAAGAGGACAGAAGTGGGTTGAATTTCTAGAACAAGGCGGGTCCCATTTCTAAGTTTCTAAGATAGTTAAAGTGAGATCCCCAAGGCTAGATCCTAAAATATGGTTTGAAATGTGAGAAAGACTAGACCTCACTAAAAATGAGGTCAACATTGAGACAATCTCCTAGAATATGGTTTGAAATGTTCACCTTGACTATTTTTGTCAATGAGTACTATCAGTGTCAGACTGATCAACTTTGTTTGTGAAATCAATCAAGAAGTTATGATAACCATCCCTATTATATGTAGATGTCTTTTTTATATGCAACGACATAATGGGACATGAAACAATCAGAATAATAATGGCTTTTGAGTTTGGGATCAAAGATCTTAAAACTTTACGATACTTAATGGGAATGGAAGTAGCTAGATCCAACAAAGACATGTTATATCTCAGAAAAATTATTTTTGACTTATTAAAGTAGACAACAATGTTGGAATGCAAACCAAAAGATACTTCTATGGATCCCAATTGACAAACTTCAAAAGAAGAGGATAACGCCTCAGTTGAATAAGGGGGGTATTAAAGGCTTGTGGTAAAGTTTATTTATCTGTCATATACCAGGCTGAGCAATATTTTTTGGTGGGTATAGTGAGCCAACATATGAATGATTCAAAAGAAGATCATCTGAAGCGGTTTTTCGAATCCTAGGGTACCTAAAGATGACTACAAGACGTGAATTAATATTCAAAGAAACTGAGAATCGTGATATTGAGATTTTCACTAATGCTAGCTGAGTAGGAGAACCGACTGACATAAATCTATCACTGGTTACTGTTAATTTGTGTGGGGTAATTTGATTACTTGGAGAAATAAAAATGCAAGTTGTGGTGGCAAGAAGTAGTGCAAACTATGAGTATCGTTCCGTGGTCCTATGAATTTGTGAAGGGATGTGGCTAAGAAACTATCGGCGGAGCTTCACATGAGGAGCCAAAGCACTATTAAGATGTTTAGTTGCAATCAGTCAACCAACATTGTTTCAAAGAATTCAACACACCATGATCAAACCAAACATATAGAGATTGACAAATACTTGCATCTCTGATAAGATCAATGGAGGGGTTGTTCTACAAAACTATATCCTAATTCAAAATCAGATTGCTGACATTCTTGCGTATGCAACAAGTTTGGGATGTATGACATATACAACCCATCTTGAGGGGAGTGTTGATATGCATACGGTTTAGGAAATTGTGGGTTCGTTGTTACATTTTAGGGGAGAAATTATTCTCCCTTATTTATCCATTATTGTATTTTTATTTCTTTCCTTTTTATCACTATGATTTGAATTTCCCATTTATTTTAAGAGGGTTATTCTGTGTTGAATGTATATTAATTATTGACTTAATGAGATTAGTGAGTTTTTTGTCCTAAAATTCTACCATTTTTTTAATTAAAAATATTTTACTAAATTTTTATTTATATATCATTGATAAGTTATATTTGATAATATTATGACTTTCCAAAGCATTTTCTTGATCATTTGGATGTTTATGTTTTTTTGATCATTTACATCTCCCTTTGTAAAAACTTTTCCTTAAAGTGGAAGCACTTCCTTATCTTAACGGACATGCGTTTTGTCTCACTCATATAGTATATAATAAAGTTGCGGGGAGAGAAGATGAAAAAGTGGATGATCTATGATAATACTCTATGTTGAAATGATGTTTTTTTATCTGTTTTGGATTAAATACTTAGAAAGAGAGTGAAACATATCTCTTGGCATTTCAAATTAAGATACTTTTTTAATGAGAAGTTTCTCCCACTTCCTAAAATGTTAAATTGAAAAAATTAGAGAACATAGCCTTGGTGGAGCCGCAACATTTTTTCAATTCATTTTTAAGATTGTAGCTTTGAAAAAAAAAGAAGATTATTATTATACTTTTTTAAGTTGTAATTTTCCTTTGTTAATTTATTTGATTTTTAAAATCAGAAGTATGATCAATTTCTCATATTTACTTTAAAACTACATAGATTTGTCATATTTCATATAAATTTATAAAATCTTTTTTATATATAGAGTTTTTTTGATGTAAAATGTCAAAACTTATTTCATCAATCAATGAGAAGAAAAAGACGGACATATTGAAAAAAACCCAAAAGTGAAACACTGTATGTTATTTTTTCTGCACTATGGGCCACATTTTGATGAGATGCATGCCAGGAATGACAAAAAGAATGAATCCAATGCCCAAATGAATTCTTACCTTACAATCTGATTGCATGGACATTATCTTACTTAAGGATAGTCTCGCTTGTTTTATTTATTAATTAATTATTATTATGATTATTTTTTGTTTTTAGTGAAGCCGTCAAATGAGGTAAATTGGTATTCTTATTCCTTCATATGTCATTTTTAATTCTTAATACCTCATTTTATCACATTTTCTTTATTACTTTTGTAAGTTGAAAAGGATCCTCCCTACGTTCAAATCCAGGTATTTTCTACTTATCTTTTCAATGGTTAATTCATTCTATATGCTCTTTTTTGTAGATTATTATGCGTCTACCAGATGATACAGAAGTGAGTGACGAAGTGTGGGATGAGGTTATAGAAAACATGAAGCATCGCCTAGAAGACAAAGTGCCAACGATCCGTGGCTTTGCAGTATGTGCATTATCACGCTTTGCAATTGATGCAGAGAACTCAAATATAGTTGAACTCTTCCTGAAGAACTTGTCTCAGGAGCAAAATCCTGTAGGGTTTTCTTCCGGCTTCCACCCTGATAATCTTTTTTCTTACAACTTTTTTGTTCTTGTTGAGGTTTTAATTGTTCTGCTCATGTAGGACGTTCGTAAAATGATTGTTCTATCGCTGCCACCTTCTATTGCTACGTCTTATTCAGTTGTTGAATCTACTCTTGATGTTAGTGAGGCAGTTAGGAAGGCTGCATACTTCGTATTGGGAAGTAAATTTCCGCTTCAAAGTCTTAGGTAAGTCCACTCTTAAAAGCTAATAGATATCAATCATGTGGTTGACATACATGCCACCCAATTCTTATGTATTTCCATATCCGACACACAAAACTTCATTTTTTACACTTACAACGCTAGCATTTTTTAGCACATAAAAATGACACTTTTAACTTTTTAAAAGAAAAATGCACCTTTTCATCCATATGCAAGGTGGCATATATGTAAAAATTGAAGTTTAGATGTTAGATATGTCAATGCATAAGAATCCAGGGATGTGTGTAAATTGCCTTGTTATAATTAAAGAAGAAAGTGAAACTGTGTTGAAAAAAAAAAAGGTTATGCATTCTGACATCCTTAAATTTCATCTTGTCTTGATAACAAGCATTAAGCTTAGGACTGCTGTTCTCCAGAGGGGCCTTTCAGATAGGTCTCCACCAGTCATGAAAGAGTGCATTAAGATGCTGAAAGAACAGTGGTTTGGAAAATGCTGCAATCAGGATCCTCTTGCTCTCTTGAGATTTCTTGATGTAGAAACCTACGAGTCAGTTGGAGAAGCAGTGATGGATGTACTTTTAAAAGATGGTATGGTGCATGTTAAGGAAGGTCAGACTATCAGACAATATTTGTCAAAATCAGATGGAAGTGAAGGTATGCTAATTTTATATGGATGCCATGCCAACTATATGTTTTTAGATATTTAGTTGCTCTTGCAATTTATCTTTTTTTTTGTATTGCTCGATTAATTATTTATCACTAGGATTTCCAGGATACTGTATATAGCTAACCAGCAATCTAGGACAGATAATCTTTGATTTTGTGACCAATAGATTTTTGCATGTCACTCTAAGGCTGTCGATAAGTTAAGGAGTTTTTATTTTTTGCATAACATTATAATTAGGGGCAACCCAAATTTTCATCCATCTGGATATTGTCTGCCCTGTCTTAATGGTCTCACATTTTTATCCCCTTGCTTTAATTTCTTATCATATTACCCTTCTTAAGACTATCCCGTATAAGAATGGTTAACTTTGGAAGTTTTCAAGAAAATCCTCAACATGTACGATTTAGGGTCATGTTTAAGATGCAGTTCTAGGTGTAAACGAGTTGAGCCGAGTTTGGTCATTCCTGGCACATGTTTAGCTTTTCTATCAAAATGCAAGGTTGTGCTCGAGCTCAAGCTCAATTTGAGCTCCAGCTTGACTCGTAGTTATGGTAGCAAGCTCACTAGTCTGGCCAAAGATAAAATTGCATTGGGAGCTCACCCATGAAGGCATTTAAGTGATCAGTGGTTGAAGACCAAGAAGTGTTGCGCAGATCACCGAAGAAGGCGTTTATGTAACCATCGCCCAACTTGCCAAGCTCGCTTGCGAGCTGAGCTTTGGCGAGCTTAAACCCAAGATCAAACAATAATTGAGCTTGAGTTTGAACTCTAGGTGAAGCACGCGACGTGATAAGCTCAACTCACAAGCTCCTTAATGAGTTAGAGGTTTCTACCATGTAGCACTTTACCCTAATAAGGATTCATGAGACGCCTCTTATGCTGCAAAGAATTGTCCTGCCATGTATTTCATATGGCTGCTTGGTGGGTCTTGACAATGATGGTATCAAATCAACACCTTAGCCGAACAAAGAAAACTAAGTGATATGCAGTGGTTTCTACCATGTAGTACCTTACCCTAGGAAGGGTTCAAGTGACGCCTCTTATGGTGCAGCAATTTGTCTTGCATATCACTTAGTTTTCTTTGTTCGGCTAGTGTGTTGATTTGATACCATCCTTGTCAAGATCCACCAAGCAAATAGATGAAATAAGTTTTTTTTAAACTCCTAGAACATGTTTTATAATATTGTTGGTTGTTAAGTCGAGACGACTACTATCATAACTAATAAAAAACACGGAATGAATATCTGATCTTATCTTTAATTAAATATACTAATCTATATATGTATATATTCTACAATAGAAATATATTAAAAAAATAAAAATAATGAAATGACAAAACTAAAATATTCTCTTCCTAAATTTGATCCCAATATGAAGGGATTTATTCTATTTATGAATTGGATCTCCATATTGAGGAAATTATTCTATTCCTAAATTTGATCCTCATATCAAGTGGCTTATTACATTTATAAATTAAAAATTTTCTCTATTAAAACTTTCCTAAATTAAATGTTCGCTTATTAACACTCACCCTCAAGCTAGTGAATAGATATCATGCATTCCTAGTTTGAATATAATTGTTGAGAAGTTTTGAACATTAAATTTTTTTGTATACACATTTTCAAGTTGTTCCTTTGTAGGCACATAGGGAGTACAAATCAATTTATTATCTGACTTCTACTTTATAAAGTGTATCAATCTCGATGTGCTTTGTTTTATCGTCTTGTATTGAATTATGAGGAATATTGATGGAAGGCTTGTTGTCACAGTATAGTCTTATAAGTTTCTTCCATTCTATCTTGAGATCTTCAAGGATGATCTTCAACCACAGTAGCTCATGCACGCCTTGAGCCATAGCTCTGAATTTTGCTTCTGCACTTGATCAAGCTACCAAATTTTATTTCTTAATCCTCAATATGGCCAGATTACCACCCAAGTACATGCAATAACCTGTTGTGGAATGTTTATCAACCAACGATCCTGTGTAGTTTGCATCAGTATAAGTTTTAAGAATCAGCCTTTCACCTTGCTTGAATAAAATTTCTTTTCTCGGGTTAGTTTCAGGAGGTGAAGTATCCGATTTTCAGCTTGTATATGATTTTCTTTAAGGTTGTGCATGAACTGATTTACTGCACTCACAACATAGGCAATGTTGGGTGGAGTGTGTGCCAAATTTATGAACTTCCCAACCAGTTTTTGGAACTTTTGTTTATCAACTACCTTGTCATTATTCGTCTCTCCAAGTTTGTGATTAGGATTAATCAAAGTTGAAGCAGGTATATACGCTAATTTATCAGTTTCCTTCAAGAAGTCAACTGCATAATTCTGTTAGGAAATGTAGATACCTTGTAGAAAATAAGCTACTTATATCCCAAGAATGTATTTCAAGCTTCCCACATCCTTGATTTCAAATTTCTTTGCCAGGTAGTTCTTTAAGTTTTCATTTTCTTTCTCATCATTCTCAGTAACAATTATGATGCGGGAGTTTTCTTGTTAGAATCACATGATCTTGATTAACTTGGGATCAAGCACGCGTTAGTGGGATTCCGCAAGATCGCGGAAAATCTCGAGATTTCAGATACCAACTGTGGCGGTTTTTGAATTTTTTATTTCTACATTTATTCTCTTCCTTTTTTGATTTCTTTCCTATATTATTATATCTAATTATGTACTTTCTACTGTGAGACTATTTATATGTTTTTTGTTACGTTTTTGGGAGAATTTGATTTGGTTTGTGTTATAGAGATTGTATCTCTGATTTTTATCATATTGGATTGCTCTATCATTTTATTTTTGTAAGTGGTGTGTCTGTAGCTTGTGCAGGAACATGTGGTGAACTTCCTCGAAATTTGTACATTGTTGTTTTGATGCCATCTTTGCTTTTTTCAGTTGGGATAGTTGTCGAACAATATTTATTCTCATCCAAACTCCACAAACTCGTGTATTATCTTCCCGTTTTCATGCCACAATCACCTTCCCACAAAACTCAATTCCTAAATCCTTTATAGGAGCCTTAGAATGGTATCAAATTTTGTCATCAACATACACTAGAAAAAAGGTAACTCCCTCTAAACTCGTGTGTTTAATAAATAATATATGATCATCTTGACTTTTTTTATAACTGACACTAAACATCACCTTTGTAAACCTGTGGACAAAGCTATTAGAGACTGCTTGAGTGCATTCAATGCCCTTTTCAATTTACAAACCAAGTTCCCTTTTAGTTACCTCCAAACGTCAATGGAATCTACATATATCTCTTTCTCTAAATCACCGTAAAGGAAGGGATTCTTCACATCAAATTGTTGTAAATCCCAATTCAAATTTATGCCGAAGGACAAGAGAACCCTTACTATCTTCAACTTAGCCATTGATCTAGTTGTCACTTGATAGTTTACTTCATATAATTTTTTGTAGCCTTTAGGAACCAACCTTGCCTTGTATCTCTCTAGAGACCCAACTGATTTGAATTTTATGACAAAACCTATTTGTGTGCCACTGCTTTTATTATTTTATGGTAGCTCTACTATTTCTCATGTTTTATTCTTCTCAGGTATTTCCATCTCCATTCTCAGTACTTCTCTCCACTTCTCATCACATGCCTCTGACGAGGTGTTTAAAGTTGGGATGGAGTTCAAGTTGGCTAAGAAACTTTTGTGATATGGAGAAAATCTATGAAAAGACGCTGATTTGGCTAATGGATACCTTGGATGTTCAGTGCATTTTGTTTGTCCCTTTTCCCAGGGCAATAGGTAAGTCATAATTAATTGGAATAGGATAGAAAATTGGATTTATGCATACCTCATTTTCAAGGGCAAGCCATGGGGTTTGCAGTTGTAGAAGATCAGGTTATAGGTTTCACTTTCTCGAATATGCATGTGCATACCTCCTAAAGTCAAACTTATCATTGGTAGGGACTAATTCAATTGTTTCAAGGTTTGATTCTTGTGGGGGCAATTCGGGTTGTAGAAATCGCTCTTATGAAAGTGATTTAGGGTATGTTTGGGGCAGCTGCAACTATTTGAAGAAACAGTTGTGATATTGCTGAAAAAGCTGCTGTTCAAAAAGATGTGATGATTATTATAATTTTCTTTTTCTGAAAAAAGTCAAACTACAGTTTTCTAGCAATCATCGCAGGTAGCCAAGTCTAGTGAGAAAACGCAACTTTCAGCTGTAGCTTTTTGAGAACGTAAACAAAACATAGTTTTACCAAATAGGAAAAACAACGATGTGACACCACACCGCTGCCCCAAACGCACTCTTAGACTCTTATGAAGAGTAAGATTGTAGTGTGGGTAGGTTAAGAAAGAGTAGGCTTTTCGCCTTATCTTCCCCAATAAGACTAGACTCCCCCTGTAGATAATGCTAAGAGACAAAAAAGTTTGGTCTTCCTCATAAGTGATGTTAATGGAGATATAAAATTTTTATGCAGGTGGGTGAGAGCACTTATAGCCTTTTTGTGTTAGAAATACTTGACAAACACATTATTGCTCGTTGATTTAATTTATCTTTGTTATTAGTATACACATGAACAAAAGAAGGACAACCAAAGACTCGGGCAGTAAGATTATTTGTGATTCGATTATTAGGATAAAACTAAGAGAGGAGTTGCATAGGGGTTTGCTCACATAATATTTTGGAGGGCATTCGATTTATAATGTGGGTTTTAGTGAGGACATCTTCCCACAATATGATTTTGGAACTCGATTTTGGAATAGTAAAGCATGGGTTGTGGCAAGTATGTGACTATTTTTCCTCTCAACGATCCCATTATGCTGAGGAATATTTATGTAGAATGACTCATGAAATATTTCTTCTTGTAAAAAATATGGCGAAAAAAATTGTTTAAAATGATCTCTGGTGTTATCAAATTAAATCCTTTTTGCTTTGACACCAAATTGGTTATGTATCATGACAAAAATGTTTGGAAGGATAGCGGTCACATTGGATTTTTGTTTGATAAGAAAAATCCTCGAGACTAATGCAATTATCGATGAAATAAATAAACTACTGAACTCCTATAAAATTGTGAGTGCTAGAGGAATCCCATATATCAATGTGAATCAAATAAAAAGGAAAGAAGTTCTATTATTGCTAATTGGAAAATAAACTCTTTTATGTTTGATCAAATCACATATATCATAATGAAAATCCTTAACATTAGCAATAATAAACAAGAAAACTCTTTTATCAATGAAAGGAAAAAACAACCAAATTCTTTAAAATTTGGAATGCTAGAGGGGTCCCATATTTCAATGTTAATCAAATAAAAAGGGAAAGTTCTATTATTTCTATTTGGAAAATAAATTCTTTTTTGTTTGACAAAATCAAATATATCAATGAAAATCCTCAACATTAACTTCTTTAAATAATGAAGGGAACATTGTTTTTAAAATAGTAAATGAAGGATGACTAAAACAAAAACGTTCACTCTAAATGTCATATTTATTTGTAAAAAAATAACATGACATTACAAAAACATCCTTGATAGTAGATTAGCCAATTCATTTCCCTAAATTTTGATCCTGAAATACATATATAACAAGATATTATAGTTCATATCATGAGTTAGTTTGTGAATAGACAATAGATTAGTGGATAATTTAGAAACATGGAGGATATTTTTTAATAACAATGATAAATTTTGTTGAATGTGACCAACACAAGCCGTTGTGGTAATAGTAACTTCAACAAAAACAATTTTCTTATTGCTCGTACAGGATGGATATGTTGTAAATTGAATTGATGAATGTGGCGTAGGATTTGTTGCTCCAGAGTTAATGATCCAAAAGTCTTATATAAACCCATTCAAGACATGTAATCTATAAGAAAGGGAGTTATTAGAGAATGCTAATGAACAAGGGCCACTTGGCTGCTCCAATGATCACAATAACCTTCAAAGCTTCTCAATATCAGCTTAATTAACTTGGCTGGGTTTACTTCCTATAGGAATCTTTGCGATTTAATTTTGTAAAGTGGGTTTTGTGGTGGAGACTTGATGAGTTTGTTGCTGAATTTTTTTATCACCCCGCTGACTCCTTTTTTAGCTTGACGTAGCAGGTTTCCTATGCAACTTCCAACAACATTTCTAGTATGTCTCTGCTTCTTACAGTATGTACCAAATATTACCTCGAGTGTCATTTTCAGATGTTCTATTAGTTTTATTTTTGTTGGAGTTTTGTTGGGCAACCATTGCAGATCTTTCAGTTGTCACTTGTTTAAGCATAATTCATCTATGACTCTCATCTTGAATAAACGTGATAATCTTCTTAGTGAAGGGACATCTTTCTTGCCAATTATTTGAATTCGGATATGATCAAATTTTGCATTTAGTCCAACCAAAAAGTCATACACTTGATCTTTCTCAATAAATTTTTTTAAGGTGACGACATCCTCAGGGCTTTGTCTCAAGAATTCTATAATGGTCGAGGTTTTACCATAGATTTTACAACATATTCACATACTCTGTTACTATTTTGTTGCCTTGTTTCGTAGTAATGGTTTTTACTTTGACTTCATACAGAAGTGCAACATTTTTGGTTTTTAAGTACAATTGGTGAAGAGTATCCAAATGATTTTTTGCATAGATGGGAAACATACACGTATCTCTAATTTTTTGTGTCATTGAACTCCATGACCAAGTCATAATCATGGAATCCTGTTCATCCTATGCATCAAAGGTCGTTTCATTTTGTTTTTGTCTTGTGTCAAAAATTTGTATAACTTTTCCTTTACCTTTTAGATAAATACCAATGAAGGCCTAAAAAAATTCCCATAGGTGTGAAAACCTAGGGCTCTGATACCATGACAAAACATGGGATAAATTTTTCTCATCTGGATAGAATGAATAGAGATATATTTTTTCTAAATGTCACCGAACAAACAATTTCAATTCAACTCTTCAAATATTATCATAAATAGTAATACAAAAGCATGTATAGGGCAATTGTCAAACTAAATTAAAGAGCCTTGAAATAAATTTCATATAAAATCATACATATCAGAAGCCTTTAATTTACATCAAACACATTCGTCCTTTGTAAACATAAAAATTGTACAAATAAAGTTTTATATAGAGAAATTTGTCACCTAATTATTGATATGTTTGCTTCTTTTCCTTATATGAAATCAAATTCATAGGTTTTTTCTTTTCCTTTTATGAAATCAAATTTTTAGGGTTTAATGAGCTAAATGCTCAATGATATAGACAATTCTATAATAAAGTTTAAACACACAAGAAAGAAATAATAATATACATGTTGATTTGACTAACATAAAACTTGATATTTTTAGTTATATCTAGTTTAATATGTTAGTACTATTAAAGAGATATATTTTGCTACTTAACAAGTTAAATATAACATGTTCATAAACATTAAGTGTTATAATTAGCATAATTAAATATAATGGTTAAATATTAAATTTGTATTGCATTACACCAATCCATTTTGTAAGTGAATTTACCTATTTATTTTTAATGCTCAAAATTATGGTGGTCTACATTGGAGTCTAAAGGCCTTCATTTAAGTAGAATTAAAACTGAATACATGGAATGTAATTTTAGTAGTAGCTCTAGTAACAGAAGTGTGACTTTGGGTGATCAAATTATTAAAAGGTGTGAACGATTTATATACCTTGGGTCCGTTGTTCAAAGCGATGGTGATATAGATGGGGATGTTAATAGTAGAATTCAAATTGGTTGGTTGAAGTGGAGGAATGCTTCGGGCCTTCTGAGTGATAGAAAAGTACCACTTAGACTGAAAGGAAAATTTTATAAGATGGTGGTGAGACTTGCAATGCTCTATGGCACTGAATGTTGGCCTTTAAAAGAGAAACATAATAATAAGTTAAGTGTTGCTGAGATGAGAATGATTAGGTGGATGAGTGGCTTTACACTTAGAGACAAAATGCAAAATGAATATATCCGTGATAGGGTTGGTTTAGCTTCTGTGACCGACAATATTAGAGAAAGTCGTCTTAGATGGTTTGGTCACATTAAACGTCGGCCATCTGATGATCCGATTAGGAGATTAGATGTATTAAATTCGACTTGTGTTAAGAAAGGCAAAGTTAGACCTAGGAAGACTTGGGCTTATTGTATTAAAAATGATCTTAATTTACTAGAATTAAATGAAAATATGACACTAAATAGGACTCAATGGAAAAAAAGGATTCATGTAGCCGACCCTACGTAGTGGGATTAAGGCTTTTTTGTTGTTGTTGTTGTATTATATTACAAGCGTCATATAATATTGTGCTTAGGTAGGTTTTGAAATATTTAATTTATTAGGTCATCACTTAGGTTATCGATAATAATAATTGTTGATAAAGTTTGATCACCCCAACATTATAACTATCAACATTCTCCAAGTGCCGGTTAAATGCTCCCAATTTTGATATCAATATTAAAGAATCTCCTTCTTTTTCTACTGAGACTCTTGTCTTTAAAATTTTGCCTCTTTTTGCATATGTTATCACCATAATTTGCTTTGTTATCAATGTTTCCTTAGTACAGGTTATATCCCCTCCCAACTTTGATATCAATGGGAAGGAATCTCTTTTTTTTCTACTGAGACTCTTCTCTTTAAAATTTTGACTTTTTTGCACAAGTTATCATCATAATTTACTTAACTATCACAAAATAATATGATATTTTATGATCTTTATTACATTTTTTTAATCGATATTCACATACTTAGTATGTATATGTACTTCTTTGCACTCAAACTATTTTATTATGCATCAAAAATACAATATGATATGTAATATTTAATATTGCATGCTTAATTATGCATTATATCTTATCAATTGATTTTAATTTGATTTCAATTAAAATATTTTCAACTATTATTAACAAGTGATCATATATGTATGAAATTGACTTTGTCAACAATATCACAATCTGCTCAATATAAAAAATTTTCATATGTCAATGCTTAATTAGTTGATATATTTGTAGACAATTGTTGACATGAATAATTTTCGTTTTTTTTTTGGAAATTGAATATTTCACTAAATTTTTGGATTCTTGTTGGGATAAATTTTCTTATTTTCTTCGTGTTGAAATTTTAATCTTTTATACTCGACCTGAAGAAATCAACAGGTCGCTGATTTATTTCAAACTTCTATTTATTAATTTAATTCTATTCAAAATTTCATAAAATCATTGACTATTTACTTTTATTCACATACTTATAAAAATGTCGAATTTATCCCCAAATTTTTTTAATATGGGCTATAATAGTCCTCATAGAAGATTATTTAATCCCCATTAAAAGTAGTATGGGCACTAAATGGACACTTTTATGATATTTGGGATTAAAATAGACTTCTAAAAGAGTCATAAGAGCATTTTGGCACTTTTCTCATATAATATCTATGTTTTGTTTCTTTCCCTTCCTTCGCATATCAACTTCGGCTTAGCAACAGCTCTCAATCTCGGCCGAGTTTAAAATCGTTGAATTTGGTTGATTACTTATATCACAAAGCTAATCAATTGATTTAATGTTCTTTTTTTCCCCTTTCGAGCTCTTCTTGACTCTTAGTGCTTCTAAATTTATCCCGTGCTCAATTACCTCTAAAGCTAAATTTACTTAATTTGATTAATAGAATAACATTTTGTTGTGAAAAATAGGTTTAACACAGACGATTCATAAAGTTGAATCCAAACAATTGGGTTAAAGAAAATGTTGTGACAATGAAATGCAGTTTGAGCTATTTTTCATTTTGAGACCTCTTCATGTATTTGGTGCAATTTTATTGCGGTTTTGATGACATTTAACCACTTTCTTGCTTTTATCCTTTTCATTCCGTTCATTTCCCTGCTTTTCTTGGCAGGAAATTGCACTTCTGTTATTCAGCTATTGGAGGCAGAAGCTGCACTTTACTGGAGGAAACTTTGTAGACATCTGCAAAATGAAGCTCAAGTATGGACAGTAATTCTGCCTTCGGATGTCATTTGAAATTTCATTTTTGTAAATAGTGGTTAGATTCGTTTAGCTTTCCAGCTGTTAATGTCTTTTCTGTTTGTGCATATTTTAAGCATGAAGTATGAACATCTTTGAACGTGACTGTTTTCAAGCAGTACGGTATGTATTGGTGTTAAACATTTTTGCGTCTCTATAAAGTATGCTTTGAGTAAAGTGCCAAAATAGTCCCCTAACTATTTACATAGGGTTATTTTAGTCCCGGAGTTTATAAATGCGCCGAAGTAGTACACAAACTCTTTAAATTGAGGCTGAAGTAATCTTCCGTAGGAACTATGTCAGCACATTAAAGAATCTGGGGATTAAATTTGTGCTTTTACAGATTCTAAGATCAACATGACCTCTTGCAAAGAGTCGGGAACTATTTCGATACTTCTGTTGATATGCTTATGCATACTATTGTAGTGGAAGGTCGAAGGGCTGGTGGAAAGGAGACATGTTTTTGCCTGTACTTTTGCTGTGAATGGTAGCAGGAAGGGGGTGAATGAACGATATTTCTCCACAAGTATCTTCACAATACACTCACATATATAGGTGTTTTTCAAGATGTCTGTCCAAATCTGTAATTGATGGAAAAAAAGAACAAATTTCATATCATTGAATCGTTGGCGCCTGGTATTTTATATGCATTAGAATCTGTCATGTGCTGTAGCTTGCAGGATTAACATTTCTCATCTTGTTTTGCCTTTTCTATGCATGATAATTTCTTGGTTCTACTCACCAATTTAACATGCCTAATCATGATTTCCTATGTTTTACTAATTAAATCTGCTTCAAAGTTTGAATCAGTAGATCTAGAACGTATTCATCCTTCTTATGTGTCTGAACCAGCCTTGCTTTACCTTACCACACTGACAAATCTCATCATAAAAACCATAACTTTATTTTTCTGATGTCCGTTTAGTGAAATGGTAATCCTTTGAATGAAATTAATTTGTGTTTATTCACATTTTTAAGTCTTCTCTGAACACAGGTTAAAGGTTCTGATGCCGCAAATACTACTGGTACTGAAGCAGTTGTTTATGCATCAGAGGCTTCAGAAAAGAATGACCTTCTGGAGACTGTCCTTCCGGAGACAATATCTGATTATGTTGATTTGGTGAGAGCTCACCTTTTGGCAGGTGACATTTGTAATCATGCCTCGCTTTCTATTTGTTTGATAAAGCAAGTTTTTGGCCCATAATAATTTTATGGTGCCAGTGTATTCATGGTGTTTAAAATTTGGGTCATTTAAATGCATACCGCCCAATATGTAGTTACACATTTAGCACCAAAACTTTATTTTTTTATGCTTATACCACCCAAATCTTTAATATCGCATAACAATCATACCACATAACAAAATGTCACCGTTTTAACTTTCCAATAATGAAATATGCCATTTCATGCATATTGTAAGGTGGTATGTATGTAAAAATTGAAGTTTAGGTATTTAGATATGCAATACATAGGAATTGAGTGATATGTATGTAAATGCTTCTTTAAAATTTTCAGGATCAGCATATCGCTTTGTCTCGAGGCAGTTATTACTGCTGGGAGCAATGCTTGATTTTTCAGACAGCACAAACAGGAAGATTGCTAGTTCTTTCGTGCAGGAACTTTTACTCAGGCCTATTGAGTTTGATCTTGATGACAATGGGAACAAGATTGTCATGGGCGATGGAGTTAGTTTGGGTGGAGATAGGTACTGGGCGAGAGCCGTTGCAGAACTGGCGAGAAGAGTTTACGCTGCTGCTGGAGAATTTGAAGCTTCCGTTACTAGTGTTTTGAAGGAGCTCCTTCAACCTTGCCGAGAAAGAACAGCAGATTTTACGCAGTGGATGCATTGCTTAGCAGTAGCTGCACTACTATTAGAGAACATTAGATCTCTACGGGACCTATACGGGAAAGCAATTGAACCCACTGAACTGTTGCATTCTCTATTGATCCCTGGGGTTAGTATGACTAACTAGTTTTCTGCATTTTTCTGGATGAGCAAAACCTCATAATACTCCCCGGCTATCAAAAAATGACCAATTTAGTCTCAAAATATTACTACTAAAAGTACATCCGAAATAATGTTCAGGCCGAATTTCTAATTTAATTTAAGGGAGATGCACCCGTTATTGAGGGTAACTTGGTCCTCTTAACATTTTATAATTTACGAAAACCATTGTGACCTTGCTGCTTCATCACCTCTACCTTGGACCTTCACAGCTTGATCTCTTCCACCCGTGTCCTTGGCTGCTTCCTTATTGTTGGGGTGGATCTTCACTGCTTTGTCAGTTTGACTGAATCCTTAGCTTTGGCCTGCAGAAACTGCGATGGAAGCCTTGCTTCGACTTGCATCGGTTTGGCCTGGTGAACCGGCAACCAGAGCAAGCTAAAGCAGACATTGATGCAACCATCAACATGCGAAGGAGAAAAGGATTTCGTGGAAACAGCAGCAGATAATCTCGTCTTTCCCTCCAGCTCTCTTGGGTCTTTGAGTTTCTAATTGAATTTAAGGAAAAAAAAATGGAGAAATGGGATTTAATCTCTAATAGGACTATAATTTGTGACACGCATCAAGGGCTTCGAAGCAGGAGTGGCTTACGCAAATATACGTGGCGTATCAGTAGTACCGATATTTGAGTCCGGTTGTCGATCTCACAGGAAACAAGATGAACTTAATTAAGAGAAATTATAGCCTACTATTATCTGTCCAAGCTTGAAATTGTGCAATTTGTAAGTTAAAGTTAGACTAATCCTAAAGTTATATTAAACAAGCCTAATCTGGTAAGCAGGAGAATATTTGTACGAAATTCAAGTTTGAAGAAGTTTCCCCCTTGAATTAATCTAATGGAAAATATAAATCGGACAAGTGAAAAAGTTAGTGTTAACCGGGAATTGGCCTATTTCTTATCCCCTTTCGTTGGTCTACGAAAATTTGACTGACAAGAGTTTAGTTCCCTAAATCTCTATACCAATCCAATTAAATCAACTCCTTGAATGTGAGCATAAACTCTAAGGTAATATTCTTACTGCCAAGAGATTATGTGGTTAACTTATATCGTTCCATTATGTATCTTTGGATCACATAGTTCACAATGGAATTTAACATTCCTACTCGCCACATAGGAAGTAAGTTAAGTAAAAGTTAACACTATTTTAATCAATTACAGATCAGATCATATAAAGAGATTCAACTCTATTCTTCCACCATACACTTAAAGGAAAAAATTTAAAAGTTCTACTCATTATTCATCTAGAAATCCATCCACACAAATTTTGAAATAGAACAAGAAATCATGCATAGAATTCTTCAGTGAAAGCCAACAATAAATACAAAACAAAGTGTACTTATCTCTCCTTTTACAAGAAAGATGGATTTAAAAGCAAGCAAGCAATGAATGCACCTTTTCCTGATCCTTTCAAATCTCACTAATTATCTCCTTTGAAGAATTCATCTCCCAGAAATTAACAGAAAAAAATTGATAAAAAGCTCCTTAAAATTCGTCTTCTTGCCTTTTATATTTTTTCCCTTCAATTCAAGTTTTGAACTGTTGTAATTGCTCATTTCAAGTTTGGGCGCTTAGACGCCAAGGGTTGGTGCCTTAAGCGCCACCCACTTAAAAAACTTTCACCAAGGGATCGGCGCCAAGGCGCCGCGATCCCGGCCCTTCGGCGCCCGGTAAGTAGCAACAATTTCCGCCTGTAAGAAATTTTTTGCTTAATTTAAGGAGGTTTTGGCTCCTCGATGCCAGTGGCCAGGTGCCTAGGTGCCCAATGACTCAATTTTTGCTCCAATCTCCAGTTTGATCCAATTCTATTCTTGTTTGTCCCCTTTTATGCTACAACATGCAAAAACAACAAATAGCCTTCCTAAAGTGCAGTATCAACATGAAAAATACAAAAAAATAAGAGTAATAATCAAGTGCAAACTATCAACATATTAATTTGTCAATCATTAATTTAACAAAAAATATTTTTGATGGAGGATGAGAAACAAAAAAAAAAATTTACATTCAAATAAGTTTGGTCTCTCATTAATTAAATGCCAAAATAATTTACTTTATATGATAATAGAGTAATAAAAAAATAAAATTCATTGAAATTTATTATTCTTAAATTATCCTCCAAAATTAATTGTTAGTGTTAATTTTAATCATGGAATCTGGGCTAGGACTAAATCAAATCTAGGACTAAATTGGAGCGCTATAAAATCAAGGGCTAAATTGGTCACTTATTATTAGCCAGAGGATTATTTTGAGTTTTTGCTCTTTTCTGAATTATATTTTACCTGATAATAATATTCTCTCCCGGTTTCTTTCCTGTGGGTCCTCTTGGTGTGGAGTAACAGGCAAAACAAGCTCACCTTGATTTACAAAGGGCTGCTACAAGATGCCTGTGTCTTTTTGGACTGCTAGAGTGGAGACCAAGTGGAGACATAGTAAAGCAGCTGAGGCTGCTCTTCACGGATGGCCCTGCTCTAGTTAGTGTGATGTCCTGTAAGGCGTTGGTTGATCTCATCACATGGCATGGCCCTGAAGTGGTTGATAGAGCCATAAATCTGGATCCTGAGCATTCAGTCTCTGATGCAACTAAGCTTGGATCGCCTGGTTCCTTGAATTTGGAGCATAATGCAAGCACCGGAGTGATTAATCTCTTATATGCTGCGATGGAAAAAGATATTAGCCCCTCAACAAACCAAAATGAGGAAGATGAAAGTCTTCATTCTGTTCTTGGAGAAGGCTTTGCGAAGCTTCTCCTTTGGAGTGAGAAATATCCGAGCATACCTATCTGTTATCATCATTTGCTCTTGCGCAGGTTGATTAGCTTGTATTTCAGTGATGAAACCAAGGAGATGCATAGGTTCGACTTTCATTTCTTGAATTTTTATGGGGCATTTACATACATGGGTAACATAGCGCACAATTCTTATGTATTTGCATATCTCACTTGGTAATTTCATTATCCACACACATCACTCAAATTTTTATCATCACAACAAAAATATTGCTATTATCACTTTTTAAACGTGAAATATATCTTTTAATGCATAGATTTAGAGCACCAAAATGCCATGTGTGTAAGTATGAAAGTTGAAGTATGAGTAACATATACGTAAGAATTGTGTACTACCTGTTTAAATTTCTCATTTTTATGGGATACTTATATACATAACCCCTCAATTCCTATGTATTTTAAATTTAATTTTTTACATTTATATCACCCAAATCTTTCATCTCACATAAAAATATCACCATTCTAACTTTTAAAAGGTGAAATATAACCTTTCATGCATAGGTAAGGTGGCATGTAGATGTAAATGCATAGGTATTGAGTGATATGTATGTAAATCTTCCTTCTTTTAATCTTTACTTTTCTGGAATTTAATTTCATCCTAATTTTATTTTATACTTGACTCGTTATACCCACAGGTTAACACAATGCTTGTCTGTATTCTTCGAGCATTATCCAGTGCTCTTACCCAAACATAAGGCGAGTTTTACGTCTAAACCATATTTATGATAAAAAAAATTAATATTTGAAGTTTTTTATTCCTATTTTCGTTCCAGTTAAAAACTTTTTATATTCCCTTCTTTTCTTAACCCCAACAGGGGTGCGTTTCCAGAGCTTTTGTTCCTGTCATGCGTTCAATGTGGCCTGGTGTTTATGGTAATCCAGGAGGTTCTCCTCCTTCCGTTTTCAAAAGGAGAAAGCTCGCAGTCCAAGCTTCACGGTTCATGTTGCAAATGATGCAGATGCCTATGCTTTCCAAAGAATTTGAGGACGAACATTCCTCTGACAAAAGCCCGAGAAGTTCTTCTCTTTCATCAAGTTCAAAACTTGAACTTGATTGCGGAGAAGATGGACTTGCAATTCGCATTGCCGCAGAGGTATAAATCAAAGACAAGTTATGTTCGAATAAAGTGCCAAAATTTTTCCTCACTATTTATATGGAATAACTTCAGCTTAAAATTTATAAAAATGTTAAAAAGTAGTCACCAAACTCTTTTAATATGGGGAAATATTTACATACAAATTATGCACACAACTCCGCGTGCGTGCTCCAATAACCCCGCAATACCCCCATAATAACCTATGAAAAACACTGAAATAGAATCAGCGAAGTTTATTGGGGTTATATGTTATTGGAATTAATACCTCAATAATAACCCCGAAACGAAAGTTATTGAGGGGTTATTACGCACGCAGCTATGTGTGCATATTCCTTATGGAAATGTTTCCCTTAATATGGACTATTTTAGTTCTCGTTAAAAATGTCTCGAGACTAAATTGATATTTTTACAGATTGTAACTAACTTGGATCCCTACAAAGAGTGAAGGGACCCTTTTGACATTTTGCTCATTTATATTGTTACCCTGGAACAATTTGAACTCTCAGACTGAATTTAATGCAGGAAAAATCATGAAAATATATATTTTACATTATGTAGGTTACAAATTACACGGAGAAGAAGACCTCTGCTGCGAAGTCTTATCTCGCAGCCTTGTGTAGAATTGCTGTGCTTATACAATTCAGATCAGAGGAACAGGAAGCCATAAAATGCATGCGGGGCCTCATACACGGCATGATTTCAGCGGTTTCAACCGATAAGGAACTTGTGAGAGAACTGAATCTGATGGCTGCAAGACTCAGATCCCTTGATCTACAGCCTGATCAGGAACTCCCACATGATCTTGCTTCTGCCATTTTTGGTAAGTGGTGTTTACTTTCCTACCACCCAATTCCTATGTGTTTACAAATCTAACACCTAAATTTTACTTCGGAAAATTTGCATACCTAGCACACATTGCTTATGAACATAGCTCACGCCTAAACTTTCATATTTACAGACATCAAACTTAGGTGCTTTAAGTTGGTGTGCGAAAATATATATTTCACTTTTAAAAAAGAATAACAATGCTATTTTTATGAGGTATTAAAAATTTGAGTGCTTTGTGTATCATATGAACTCTTAGGTGTGAGATATGTAAGAATTGTGTGCATTTTTGTCCCTTTTATTTTTTACATTTATACCGTCCAAATCTTTTATGCCACAAAAAAAACATCACAATTTTAATTTAAAAAAAGTGAAATACACCTTTTTCATGCATACATAAACTGCTACTCATATAAAAATTAAAATTTAAGTGTTAGATATGTAATTTGATAGGAATTGAGTGGTCTGTATGTTAATCTTCCTTTTGGTAATTGTTATTGATGTGAACAAAATAGAATAACTTCTTAAAAGTAGATATTGAATGCGGTAAATTAGTAGTTTGACAATTTCAAGCTTGCCTAAAACTTTGAAAATCGTAGAGCCATAAGAGAAAATCAATTACAGGATAAGTATTAGGGGAAAGTGAATGTCTAGCCAAAACATAATTCATTTGCTTTGCATGACTCCAATTCCCTCTAGGGAGGTGTATTTATAACATTATACAACTTATATAGGAATCTATAGAACGCCTACACACTGTCTTATATCTAATAATATAACCTGCTCAATTCATTTATGGAATATTTACATACACAACACTCAATTCTCGCGTGTTTATATATCTTTAAAACCTAAACTTCAGTTTTTCTACTTTAACTATACATGAAAATGTGCATTTCATTGTTTGAAAGTAAAAAATTGTGGTATTCATCTTTTGAGATGAAAGATTTGGGCAGTAAAAATGTAAAAAGAAATAAAAGGGGCATTTACATGCATGCCATCTAATTCTTATGTATTTACATATCGAACACCTAAACTTCTTACATCTACACCACCCAAATCCCCTATATCACATCAAAAAATAATGCCACCATGTAAACTTTAAAAAAGTGAAACTCGCCTTCTTATACATAGGAAAGCTGGCATGTATGTAAAAATTGAAGTGTAGGCGTTGCATATGTAAATTAGATGTTAGATATGTAAATACATAGAAATTCTGCAGAACTTTCCTTGTTTATGATTTGAGCTAATAACAACTTCATTGTACCAGAGAAGCTTGGATTGGATGGTAATCTCAGATTCGATCCGTCGGCAATGCCGCCGGTAACTCCACAACCGTTCTCAGCCAGGGCTGCCCCCGTACGACGAAGGGTGCGGCGAGAGCCTTCGGACAATGATGATGACGATGATGATGTAGAAGATGCTGCTGCAGCTACTTTCCATGTCCCGTTCACTCCTAGCGTCGTGAACTCGCGTTCTCAGAGAGCTAGCAAGACAGCTGCAATGAGCAGGATGACCGCAAAAACAAAATTTGAGTTCTCAGAAGATGATGATGATGATGATGATGATGATGGAGATAGCTCTGATTTGACCTCGGAGGGGGATTCAGATGAAGATGATTATGGGGTTGCAGAATAGATCATGTAAGTTTGATTTGAATATGATTAAATGCATTGATACATGTAGTTTATGTTTCTAGCTTTAAGGTTCTCTGCTTCTCATGGAAGTTTGATGTGATTGCAAATTTGGATTTTAGGAAAGGCATAAATTTGATTTAGGAAGTTTTACATATATGACACTATATTCCTTTGTATTTGCATATAACACCTAGACTTCAATTTTCACATATATATACCATTTTAGTCGTGCGTGAAATTGTTTAAAAGTTAAAATGATGGTGTTTTTTATGTAATATGAAAGATTTGGGGTGGTGTAAATGTAAAAGGCAAAGTTTAGGTGTTAGATATGTAAATACACTTGACTTGGGTGGTATGTAAATTACTCATTTTAGAACAGATTGAAGATATGAAACAATTGGTTTTGGATGTTTTGATCAAACTTAATAATGTTATGATCATTTTATGTAAATTTCAAATTTTAAGAGTTCATAGTTGAACCAAATTTCTTTTAATAGATATCATATGCCTTGTCATATTAATGTCATGTATTTTCAATCCTTCTTAACTTTCAGATTTATATTTCACTCAATTGCTTTTTCTTTGTTTTTGGTCTCTTTGAATTTGATTTAATGTCACAAGTAAATCCTAAATATTAAAAACCTTGTCTTTTAAGTGAAATGCAACTTTTTATAGGTTCATGACACCAATCTTATAAATTTAAATATTAAATTGTATGTTTTGGGTATATAAATTCATTTGAATTGTGTCGTCGTGTATGTGATATGTACGTATGTATGTACGTATGTATGTATGTATGATTATTTTGGGTAGCTTTGATTTTATGGTTATATAATGAGCGCGATAATTATCCAACTGTTTTTGCTTTTATTATTTGAGTAATTTAACCATATCAATGTTGTGTTTGTTATGGTGAATGAAATAAATGTTATGTTTTCACAAACATAAATATATTTTATTAGTATATTTGTATGATAATGAAACTATAGAGAATATGGAAACAAGTAATTTGTAAATATTTTTTAATTTTTGTTATAAATATTGGGAACACATTGATATGCAAATCATATATATGTCCAATCATGCTCGACCATTCATTGATGTGCATCAGTGTTTTAATATGAATGTTTAGGCGTGCGCGTACTGAGACTTGTTGGTAGAGTAACGTCTCTGAAGATTGTAAGTCCCCTCAGGTCACGGGTTTGAATCCCTCTGTTTGTGGAGTGTAATACTTGAATATTTAGTATACCTAGGGATGATCGGGACTCGTCTTAAACCTCTAGCCATTCTTTTCTAAGACTAAGAAAAAAAAAAAAATCTATATGAATGTTTACGTGTTAGATAACTAGCCATGCTTTTTAAATCTTATATAGCTTAAAATCTTAACTTTGTAGTGCGATATTTATTTTAATGTACTAATAAAATATTATTATTTTATAATTTCTTATTTAAAAAAACGGGCTTAATAAATATCAATATGCTTGACATTTAGCTAAAAAATGTTGATTAAAAATGTAAAATTGGAATCGTTAAAATGACAATATTTGGATAGAAGAGTTGGTCATTGATGTGTGCTGGAAAATCCGCGGCAGTAGAGTAACGGATTATCGTCTTAGCGTTGTACGAGAATGAATTCAACACACACATTTCAACACACACATAGATGAAAGAGAAACAAGCAGTGATGACTCCAAAAACTTTTACGTGGAAAGCCCAGAAAGGGGAGAAACACGGGGCCTAGCCCAATTGTGAAAATCCATTATTGATTGATGATTACAGAGACCCCTTTGTCCCACAGATGGGAAAGAATTACTAGCTTTCCAAGTTATAACGTCGACTGACGGCGTGCAGTCAGCGGTGGTTGACAGTAGTTGATGACGGTCGGCGGAGGTCAGCGGTGATCGAAGGTGGTCGACGATGGCCGACGGTGGTCGACAGAGGTGGGAGGTGGTCGCCGATCGTCGGTGGTGGTCGATGATGGCATGAATGATGTTGGATTTGAGCTCTTTCTCAAAGCCTCAAATTCTGTCTATATCCCCCTCCTTCATGTGAGGGGTGAGACTCTATTTATGGTGTTTTAGATGATGTTTGATGGACATTCGAGTGCCTTAACGATATCAGAATTGAGCAATCTTGGGCTCGTTGGATTCTTCTTGTCGAGACGCTTGATTCGACTATGACTTCGCTAGATTCGACATCCGTTTTACCTTTCAAATGCCTTCGAAAATCCTCTAAGAGCGGTTTAATGATTTGATCCGGGCTTCTTCTGATTCAGATTGGACTACTTTTTATATCATTGGGTCGTTCTCATCGAGACGGTCAGTTAGACTATTAATTTACTGAAATCGGAGTTCTGGATGACTTTTGATCAAGATTTGAATGTTTCTTGCTCAAAATATTATCTCGAAGTTCGTGTTGGATGATGAAAACTTGTTGGTGGTGTATCATCATAAAATAAATTATTAATGAAATAAAATTCAAACATGATTAAGAAAAATAGTTATGCTAAGATGATTGATAATACATGCGACAAATTACTACATGATAGCATAAATTGTGATTAAAAATTTTCCAAATGGAAAAAATTAAAAAAAAACATATATATACTAAGCATCAATGTGTAAATATAAGTTCAAATTTGTAATGTGTGATAAATAGGAAATTAAATTAATTTTTTCTTATGATGGAAGAAATGATTATAATAGTGAGATTATAAAAATTAGAAGAACTCATTTCTAAAATAGAAAGAAAGAAATTCAAAATATTTCTAATGATCATATTAAAATATGTTGCTTAGAAAATGAATAAATGTCTTTCTTTAATGTCTTCTACGTAGCAGTTTAATGCCTTCAACTACCCATAGTGTACTCAACACATTTATCCAGTAAAACATAGCAAAAACACATTGCACGACTATAAAATTATCATAATTAGGCAATAAAACACAAACCTAATCATTAAAAAAATCATGTTGAAGTTGTAGTTTGCCACATTGGCCATTGTTGGTAGCTTTAGTAGTATTAGTCGAGCACTGGGGGTATAGTAAGAAGTTGTCATAGAAATTGGCCACATAGGCCATAATTGATAGTTGCAAGAGCGTTAGTTGGGCACAGAGGCCATGGCGGGAAGTTACAAAAGTAACTGGCCACATAGGTCTTATCTGGTAGCTACAAGAGCATTAAATAGTCACAAAGATTGTAGTGAGAAGTTATAGTAATAATCGGTCACATAAGTCGTAATAATTTATGTTGGTGTTATTTAGAGATTGCAATAGCAGATAGCTAGATAGATTGTAGTTTCTCACATCGGCCATAGTTGCAGACTGCAGTAGCAGTTAGCTACATAGATTGGAGTTTTTACGTATGTTGTAGTTAGAGGCTGTAGTAGCAGTTAACTAGATAGACCATAATTTGTCAAACATGCCATAGTTGGTAGCTTCAGTAGCGTTTGCTGGCTTGAGAGCCTGTCATATGTAGTTGATAGATGTAAATGTAAGGCTTTAATGAGAGCAGTTGGCCACATAATCCGTAGTGGGATGCTACAATAGTAACTGACGAGATAGGTTATAATGGGTTGTTGCAAGAGTGTCAGTTGGCCAGAAAGACTGTAGTGCAAGTTTGAATTGACAGACATTAGCCACATAGTTTGTAGTAAGTAGCTACAAAACTAGTAGCTGGTCACATAGGTCGTGATGGGTCACTGCAAGAGCGTCAGTTGACTATATAGGCTGTAGTGAAAGGTTGTAATGACAATAGTTGACCACATAATACATAATGGGAAAGTATAGTAGTAACTGGTCGCATAGGTCATACCAATTCGTTGTAAGAGCATCAGTTAGACACAAAACTGTAGTAGAATGTTGTAATGATAGTCGTTAGCAACATAGGCCACAGTAGGCTAGACCATAACGGGTCACTCTAAATAAGGGTGTAAATGAGTCGAACACGAGTGAGCCTAGACTTAACTCTGTGTTCAGCTCGTTAAAAAATGATATTTTTCGTGTACGACTCGTTTATATTTCAAACAAAAAATATGTTCGTGTTCGGGCTCATTTGCTTAGCGAGCCGAACCCCAGAGAGCCCAGGGTCAGGTCGTCTTCAACTTGTTAAAAAATGCGATTTTTCATGTTCAGCTCATTTATATTTTGAACACAAAAAATATATTCGTGCTCCACTTATTTGCTTAGCGAGCCGAACACGAGTTGTTCATGAACTAAAAGTCGTTTTGACAACTGTAGTCACGTGGTCATAAGATGTTAAGGGTTGGGGCAAGAATTAAATCTTATTATTTATATTAAAACATTATTTAAATATAATTTAATATGTTTTTATTTTATATTTTTAAATAATAACTTTAATCGATTATAAATTCTTTGCAGCTCTGCAGTCAATTAATTTTTTATATATATATATACATACTTTTAATCCAAAACGAGCCGAACACAAAAAAAAGTCTATATATCGAGCGCAAAAAAATTGTTCGTGTTCAACTTATTAACTTAACGAACGGATAGACCACAAACTTCTTAACGAGTCAGACACGAACTGCTCACGAATAACAAACCGTTTTGGCAGCCCTTATTGAAAGAATAGTGCAAAAAAAAATATTCTTGTTCGACTTATTAACTTATTTTTTTGTAAATTAAAAATCAAATTAAACTTTTATCTTGGATCTTAGTTGCAGGCTTGAATTACAATCAAATCTAGCTTAAGCTTTTCTTAAATTGAAATTAAGCCACATGACTTCAATCAGATCTTATATCTGTGTTAAATCAAACTTAACGAGGGATACTTTTCATCCATACATTCTCATTGGCAGGAGAAAATAGTACCTCTGGTGAACCGGACATGCAAACGGCCGAGCGGATTTGGCGGCGTAGTGCAATTCACATCATCATCTTCGTGCACATAATATTTTCTCCTTTGGAAGATGGAAAAAATTGACATTTAAAACTGAAATTCAGGAGAATCATTTGAAAATTGGATACATTCATAAATCAGCCTAATATTAAGAAAAAGTTATTATTCACACATAATAAAAAAAACAGGGCATTTGCATACATACCATACAATTCTAATGTATCTACATATCCTGCACCTAATTTTTTATATTTACATCTAACACTCAAATCTTTAACATCACATTAAAAAAATATCATTGTTATTAACTTCCTAAAAGTAAAATGCAACTTATCATCATAAATTTATGACACCAAATGTTAAAATGCCAAATTTTAAATGTTAGAGATGTATACAAAATGAAATTGTGCCGCATGTAAGTAAATTTGCTAATAAACAAATAATGCAGCTAACAAAAAAACATTTAGCTGTACAATTACAATCAAATTTTACATTCTCAATGACATAGAAAACGATCATATCATTAATCAAATGAAAAATACAAACATAAGCTTCAAAAAGCACCTTTTTTGTTTCCATCAACAACCTTTCCTACTCTACACCTACAGTATGGTAAAAATAAAAAAAAAACATAAAACATGGCCTATAGCTGCAGATCAGCACAATACAGCTTATTTTATGATACAATTTAAAGAATAATAGACTATAGAACTAACATATTACACTGAAAACAAAACGGCTACTAACTTTCGCGTTCACCCATTTTCTTCTTCAGGACGAGGCTGCCAGATTCGTTCCTGGTGAAGAGCATCTCGACCAGCTCGTCCCAATTCGTTCTCCCGCCGGACTTGGACTCGGTTTTCAAAGCAACTCCATTCTGGTTTTCTGAGTGCGAAGAGTTGATAATTGTTTCACTCTGGATCTCTAATGGTGCAGAGTTAATCTCATCTGCTGTGGGTTCTAATGGTGGGTTTGCATGAGGCACATTCAAGGTGACCGCTCGTTCTAGTGCACCCTTGTACTCCTTTTCTAGGGTTTGTTTCCTCTCCATTTTCTGCTGAACTGGAGCAGTTGTGGTTGCAGCATCTTCCTTTCTTATCTGCAAAATGCATGTTGAGCTTTTCTTTATTATAGTTTCCAGAGGTTCAGTTTTTCAAACATGGACTATCCATTTTAGCAAGTGCATTAGGGGTGTAAGAAATTGAACTTACACGCTAACTTCACCTGAACTCCACTCTAAAAATTCAGGTTCGGTTTGACAAGCCAGCTCAAATTTGAATCAAAATTGACCCGTTAATCAGAAATTGACCAAAATTGACCTGACTTTAACCAGAATAATTAATGTCTTATGTTAAATGGATTATACGGGTCGAGTGAGTTGAAGGCGGAGTCAAGTTCAGGATAGCCTAACTCGTTTAATATTCAGGTCAAATTTGGATCGAACCTGAACTCGGCCTGCTAAGCTGATTTGACACTCCTACAGAGTGAATCATGATTAGTCTTGTAACACGAATTTGAAGTCAAATTTATGAATTCATTTTTCATTCATTCTTGTTTGAGTGCTTGATAACTTCTTTAATTCATTTTGGAGAAATTAACACGAGCAACACACTCTGTGTGTCCTTAAACATATTAATAGTATACGCTTGCCTTATTGGTGTACTTTGTTCCATTTTAAGTACATGTTTAAGTCAATGTTCTAGTATCTTATATTTAATTCTTTAAATAGGTTCTATGTTTATATAAATACTATATATTCACATCTCATATTTTCCTTTCTGATTTCATGTTACAGTAAATTCATATTTTTGCTCTAACTTGACCATTTAATGACATTTTGTCAGCCAATAATATAATTTATGATATCTATAATAAGGTAATTTTGTAAAATCTATTTTAAGTCTTCGCATTTTGTAATTGCATAATACCCTATGGGTACTTCTTTATTTTAACTGCATAGGTTTAGGGCATTTGAATTTTGCTTACGTTACAAGGGTTTAGGGTTTAGTGAAGCAAATAGGGTTTGATTGACTAATAGATCAAGTGTTGACTTATTTTGAACTGCAAATAGGGTTTGATTGACTAATGTATCTTCACCAATATTTCTTTTCAAGTTTAATTGACTAATGTATCTAGTTTTGATTCCTATAATTGACTCTAGGGGCATTTACATACATACCACACAATTCTTATGTATTTACAATCTGACATCTAAACTTTCATATTTACGAGCATACCATCCAAATATAACATCTTATTAAACATACCACTATGGCCTATTTTTTAAAAGTGAAATACACATTTTCATGCATAGATTTATGACAACAAAGTGTTGTAGATGTGAATATGAAAGGCTAGAAGTTAGATATGTAAATACATAATACTCCGCAGTATATAAATAAATTTCCCTTAATTTGAAGCTAACTTTATAATTTTTCTTCTTCATTCACTTCTATTTAGTTTAAGAAAGGCACTAATATCGATTTATGCACGCACATAACAAAAATAAAAAGATTCTATTTTTCAGATTCATTGACAAATGAATGTAATGGAGATAGAACAATATCAAAAACACTTGAGATAAAATTCACAAGCTAGTTGGAGTTGTGTTTGAATCTTACATTGAATAACTTCTGCGATTCTCGTTCAATCCACAAAAGGCCGTGATCAGATGTTGCGTTACATGACAGCACAATATGCTCGAATCGGCCTTCAACTGGAATTGCAGTCCTCACCTCAGGGGGGAATCTTCCACATCTGCATGAACCATATCACCAAAGCCAACTTCCATCAAACATTATTGGAAGATACATATCAAACATCCAAACTTCAATTTTACATAACATACCATCTTACCTTTGCATGAAAAGGTGACTCTCACTTTTTAAAAGTTAAAATGATGGTATTTTTGATGTGATATGAAAATTTTGGGCGATATAAATGTAAAAAAGTAAAGTTTAGGTATCAGTTATGTAAAAACATAGGAGATCCACTTTATTAACTCAGTCCTAGAAACCAAAGCAAGTAGAACCCAATTTGACTTTCGTATCCTTCCAAAATTCTGTATATATATTTCATAAATTGCAACTTGAACAAAATAAAGGAGATAAAAAAGACAACTTTATTTTGTTCATTGCCTAGCATTGACAATATAAATTAGTCAATGACTAAAATGCATAAAATGCAATATTCGAAAAGAACAAAAGGGCTAGATAGCAAATCTCTACCTGCAAACTTTTCTCTCAACAATGTGATACATTCGCCCGGGGGCATAGAGCCTTCTTGGATCATTAAGCTTTCTTTTTTCTGGTATAAAAGTATCCCTCAAACATACTAAAAATAGAAAGCATGGCAAGCTATCCAAGAGCATTAAAAAAAAAAAAAAAGCTTTTTTAAAAACTTATTTAGCAGAATTCTTGATCAGCACAGATGCTATATTCGAAGACAAAAAACACGAAAATTTTACCAGAAAATAGATCCAAAAATATGCTCTAATGGAGTAGGAGTCCTTGGCAGGAAATCATCCTGTAAGAACAAGAATTTAGAGATCACCACAAAATGTAAGCATAACATATGCTTCTCAAATACTAAACATTAAGGGACATTCACATACATACCCAACACCTAAACATTCGTATTTACATGCATACCACTCAAGTCTTTAAAATCGCATAAAAAATACCACCATCACCATATTTTTAAAAGTGAATACACATTTACATGCATAGGTTTATAACAGCAAGGTGCCATAAATATAAATATCAAACTCTGGGTGTTAGACATGTAAATGCATAAGAATTGTGTGGTATGTATGTAAATTTCCCAAATATATCACCCAAAGAATTTAACAACACAAAATAGAAAGATTTACATACATACCACTCAATTCCTATGTATTTACATAAATAACACCTAAACTTCAATTTTATATACATAACACCTAACCCATGCATGAAAAGGAGAATTTCACTTTTAGAAGTTAAAATGGCGTTTTTTCTGATGTGATATGAAAGATGATAGTGATATAAATGTAAAAAAGAAAAATTTATGTGTTAGATATGTAAATTCATAAAAAAATGAGTGATCTTTATGCAAATTCCCCCATAAAAACCATAAAAAGATTAAGAAAACATATATTAAAAATATTTTAGCTCAAAAATTCTCGTCTAAATCTGACTCAGGATGCAAGACAAGACTATATATTTTCAAACTACAAACATTTCTTCATATACAAGACAGACAATAATCAAACCATTTATAGGTAATTTTCTGTCAAGCCAAAATCTTATCTTGCAAAACATCAAGAGTAAGAATATGTACCTGCAGGACGACGGAATTGATCACATCAGCATACTTCACCGCAAGATTCAACGACATACACCTCGCCGGCGCAATCGCATAACACCGGATCCGATCCCTTTCAATCCCCCCAAATCGATCCCTGTGATTCACCACAATCACCGCCATCAGCGCCACCACACCAGACCCCAGCGAATGCCCCGTGAAAACCAGCTTATACTCCTCCCCCACCTCCCCAATCACACGCCTTAGCAACTCCGACTCCCGATTAAGTATAAACGTCGCCGCCTTCAGCAATCCATGATGCACGTACCCGCCATCGAACATCTGCATTCCCAATCGATTATCCAGCAAAACCTTATAATCGCTCTCGCGGGAGAGATTGAGACCGCGAACGGCGAGGATGATCTCCCGGTGGCTGTGATCGGCGTAGATCAGGTAGGGAGGGCATCGGCCCTGGGTTTCTTCGTAGGGGACACGTTTGAGGAGGCATTTAGGGTTCATGCCGTAGCCGGAGGGAGGGGGGAAGCGGGGGTGGGATAGATCGTCTTCGTAGACGGCGAGGATGGTGCGGCACAGGCGAGGGATGGGTTCGATTTCGTCATCGGAGGCGGGAGGCCATGATTCGGAGTCGTAGGAGCCGACGTAGGTGAGGCGTTTCCATGCCCAGCGCGCGCAGCCGAGGAAGACGACGCATTCCACGCCGCAGGCCACCGACATAGCTGCCGGCGACGGCGGCGGATATGGGGGCTACGGGAAGGAGCTGTGCTGCAATGGAGCTCGGGGGGTTTTGACTTAGGCAGCACCTGGTCTTAAATGTTAGTTATTATTACTAAATGCTGGATTAAAAGGTGATTAGTGAAATAATTATAACGTTTATAACAATGAAATATACTTTTCATGTTAATATTTTAAATATTTATTTTGTAGAATTGAAACATGAGATTAATGTCACCTTCCAAAAGAGTTCTTATGGGTGGTGGGCAGCCCAAGAGTTAAATACTATTATTCGGTCATACACTTAGCTGATATGAGACTTTTTATTCGTGAAATTATTCACGTGACACCCTCGTCACGGATCGACTCCTCTGAGGTTCCCACTGGACCATGGAGAGTCCACACACCTGACAGACAATAATCTACTCTAATGACACTTGTCACAACTCAAAAGAGCTCTTAAGAGAGGTGGACAGATCAAAACTTAAATATTACTCTTCGGCCCTACACCTATCCGATTTGAGACTTTTTGTCCGTGATGTCGAGCTGATAGTTCAATGAGCTTGATTTATTATAAACTTAAAAATTTTGGTGGAGAAAATAATTTATTAAAAAATTTCATGATGATAGATAATATAGTTAATACTTATTTAATTGCATAAAATCAGATATTTTTATAATTTTAATTAAAAATTACATAACTGACATTTGTTTAATAAATATAATTTAAAATATCATTGACAATTTATTTTAAATTCAAAATATTTAAAATGTAAGAATTAAAATTAGAAATTAAAATAAATTTGTAAAAAGTTTTATTTTAAACATTAAAATTTATATTTTAATTCATGCAATTCTTATTTACATATCTGACACCTAAACTATTAAATTTAGATAACACTCATATATTTAATATCATATAAATATTAATTATTAATATAAATGATAAAATAATTAAGGGGTTGTGCGACTTAACTCATTTATTAATTAGGAAGAAAATATGTCTAATCTCAATATTAAAAATGGGCACGTGTTTTTTATAAAAAAGGGCCCATCTCATACTGGTCAGAGGCTGCATAAGAAGCTTGGACAGGTCAGGGTGAGGTGGCAGCGAGTTCCGCGTAAAGCCCAAATGCCGCTGAATGGGCCCAATTAATTGGGTCCATAAAATTGTTTGAAAAAAAAGAAAAATGCTTTTAAAAATAAGGAAATTATTTTCTTGCTTAATTTATTAATAGAATAAAGTATTAAATTTTAAAAATATTTCTGAAAATTTTGTGAATTTATAGGTCGTCAATAAAATTTATCATTTGACATAAATTTTTAGACGATTAGCACAAATTTAGGAGCATTTGACTTTTAAAAGAGAAGTATAAAACTAAGTGTTGTCGAGGAATATATGTTTTAGATTCGTCTTATGACACTCCAATGGAGAAAAATGATGCACGTAGCTGACCCCACTTAGTGGGATAATGACTTGTTGTTGTTTTTACATACATACTGCTCAGATCTTTAACTTCACATCAAAAATAAAACATCATACATAACAATAATAAATAAATTGCATATTTTCTTGTATGTTCGTTAAGTCGTCATTTTTTAGAAATTAAACCCACGAGAAAGAATAATAAAGTTGGGTGATCATGTTCCGGGCATGTTAGCTCGAAATAATATATACATACACATATTTTTTATATAATAATATATTCTATATATTTATATCTAAGTTTAATTCATAACAATTCACGTGGTAATTTGTTTGTGTATTTTATTACACATAATTGATAGAGGTTTGAAACCAACACCCTGCATTTATTTTTTATAATTAATTTTGAGCCGAACACAAACACACTCTTCACGAGCAATTTCGAACATGAGTCAATTTCTAGCACGAGCTAATTTTGAAGGAGTCGCAACATAAGTTAAGCCTGAGCTCACTCAAATTCGTCTCGTTTACGGTCCTAGTTGAGAAGCCCAAGACGTCACTAAAATCATATTTAGGCCCTATTTATTCCGTGAAAATTTGAAACCGCGTCCCCCGAAACGCTCATTTGATTCCCGCATCCCTGCATTCGATCCTCGAACTACGACGTACCTTTCTTTCTTTCAGTAACCGCGATTGTTCGCCAACGTCCGCGTCTTCAAGTCCCGCGTTCCTTATTTTATCCATTCCAAATTACTTTTTGACCGTTAATAGAACATGTTAATTATATGAACCATAAAAATAAAATATAACATTAATAAATCAATTTATCAAATTTGAATTCTATATAATATAATCAGATGCGTATTTTAGATATTTATTAACGCATCCGAGAAATATTTGTGTACGTAAGACGTACGCAGCAGAGTTGCGTACATATTAGGGCGTACATATTAGGTTATTAAGAGGGTACAGATAGGTTACACTTAGGTTACAGGAAGAATTACAATGAGTATAACCTAAGTGTAACCTATCTGTACCCTCCGAATAACCTAATATATACACGATTCTGCGTATGTCTTACATACATACACAAATATTTCTCCATCCTTAGATGTCAATTCCAATTTGTTCGTAGACTAAGATCCACACGTTTTTTTACTTTATTTTTCCTTCTTAGATTTTTTATTTTAATAATTTATTATATGACAAAAACTATAAAACTATTTTAAAAAAATGAATTGGTTTTGGGTCGACTTGACCTTCATTTTTTAATATAAATAAATAAGGAAAAGAAAATGAATTGTACCGTCACACGTTCCTCTTCTTATTATCATTCACACATGAGGAGAAGAAACTTCTCCAAGCAAGGCCTCCGCAGCCCACGTGAATCATTACTTCTCCATTATTATGGCTTCACCTCGAGTTCAGCTTGTTAAAAAATATGACTTTTAGGCTTATTGCAAGTAGAACAGGAGTTGTTCATGAACATAAAGTCATTTTGACAATCATAAACCTCATACGTAGGATGTTAAGGAGAAATTTAAATCTAATTATTTATATTAAAAATCACTTAAATACATTTTTATTCTATTTTTTAATTTATAATTTTAATTGATTATAAATTTTTGTAGCCTCGTAGTTAATTAAATTTTTTAGAAATATAATACTAATATATATATAATACGAGTCAAAACAAGCAGAACATGAATGAACAAGTTTTTGTTCATGTTCGGCTCATTTATATATCGAGCAGACAAATATAGTTCATGTTCGGCTCGTTAACTTAGTAAACGAATCGAACATGAGTTTCTTAACGAGTCGAATACAAACTAATTGTAAACAACGAGACTTTTTGATAGCCCTAATTCTAGTTAAATTATTGGAAAGTTTAAGTACATATCACACATTTTTTTATGTATTACCTATCTAAAAACTAAAGTTTGATATCTATATTTATAGCAACTAGTGTTATAAATTTATGCATGAAATTGTGTTTTCACTTTGAAAAATTTATAATGGTAATATTATTTATATATTATTAAAAATTTGAGTGTTATGCATTTAAATATCAAAATGTAGATGTTTAGATGTTTAAGTAAATAAGAATTGTACGGTACGTACGTAAATGCCCCTTATGTTGGGTAATGTGGAGACCCGGTCCACCGATTTAATTAACTTCTTAATTAAGTATCACACCTACCGCTCACCTACCTCCCACATACCGGTCTCATGGTTTCTATAAATAGTCTCTTTTGATTTAAAAGAAATGCAAGCCAAACAAGACCAAACCAAGTCATCTTGAGAGCTAAGAGAAAAAGAGGAAGAGAGAGAGAGAGAGAGAGAGAGAGAGAGGAAGAGAGAGAATAAAATAGAGATTTTCTTGTAAACGTCGAGGCACTCGACGGTATAATTCCTCGAAGAAATAAATTCTCTACAGCTCCGTGGACGTAGGCAAATTTGTCGAACCACGTAAATCTGTGTGTCGCTCTGGTGTTTTTTTCGTGTGCAATTTTACGCGTTCCATTTTTTACTTTATTGACGTCGTTTTTCACAACACCTTGTTGCGTGTCAGAAAATTCGCTTCGCAGCGGTAGCATAATAATTCAATGGCTTAGTGTTGCACAAAGATCCATCAGACATAGATAATAAAAAATAACGGGAGGAGACATCACAAACAATGTAAAGAAAAAAAAAACCACATAATCTACCCGAGTCAAATTAATCCATTATGTGATTGTAAATACATATGTCAACTTTTCTCCTAAATTATAATCACAAATATGCAATTATAATTCATGAATAATTGTCATAATTAGGCTATAACATATATAGTTTTCAGTTGTAAAAGCATAACTAGCAAAGGTCAGTTGGAAATGAAAACAGAGAATAGTTGATCATAAATGTTGTAGTTAGTGGTTGCAATAACGTCAATTAACTACAGAGACTGTAATGAAAAAGTTGTAACAGTAATTGGCTATAAAGGCTGTAGTTGGTAGTTATAACAACTTCAGTCAACCACAGAAGCTGTGGTGGGAAAATACAGTAGAACTTGATAGCATAGGCCTTAGTTGGTAGTTCTAAGAGTGTCAGTCAGCCATAAAGACCGTAGTTAAAATCTGTAGTAATAACTGAACACTTAGGCCGTAATTGATAACTGCAATAGTGTTAATTGGCCACAGAAGTCGTATTGGGAAGATGCAGTAGTGATTGGCTACATAGACCGCAGTTAGTACCACTAGTTTGTGAATGCAGCCATTTTCTCGGGTTTACCATTTTACGTCATTTGTTGATATACATTGTAAGGAAGAAAAAATGTGTTAGTAACAACAATCGTATTCTAGATACAATGGTTGTAATAAATTTTTGCCAAGAGTTATTACTAGATCTTCAATACAGGTTTCGTTAAACCGTATTTAGAATGTGTAGTTAGCAAGCAGAAATCATCACGGAAAACGAGAATGGGCAAACAATTTTTTTCTACAAGAACCAGTAGGCAGTGGACGACGGTGGTCGACAGATATGATGACCAAAAGTTATTATCAGGTCTTTAGTTTAGAACTAGAACAACACTGAAATTTAAGTCATCTTTCTTTTTTCAAGAAAAGAGAAATGATCAATTTATAATTTCTTAGGTAGAAGCATTTTGATTATTCGATGAATAAATCTAATTACTATCCTATCACATCGCTCGCATTGATTCCCTTAGATCATAATAAATCTTTAGATAATTTGAGAGCCTTAAACTTCATAGTTAAGTGATTTTTGAGCTTCTTGAATTTCTCTAATCAATTTACTTAATTTGACTCTAAATATATCAAATTTAAAATTCATATGCTCAATTAATTAATAATCCAAAATCTCTATATGTGCTTTAATAGCTTAATTTAGACTTGATTCTTGATTAGACCCTAACTAATATCATCATGTTCATCTTGTTGAGACGATCACTTTAACTACAAAATTATGAAAATCAAGGCCTTGGATTTGCTTCAATTTGCATATAAAATTATTAAAATCAAGGACTTGGATGAGCTTCAATTTGAATGTGCTTTAATAACTTAATTTGGACTTGATTAGACTCTAACTGATAGCATCAGATTAATCTTGTTGAGACGATCAATTTAACAATAAAATTATAAAAATCAAGGCCTTCGACGAGCTTCAATTTGAATATAAAATATTTCTTATTAAAAAAATATATCGAGATCCGTGTCAAATAATAAAATTTCTAATGACTCCACCCCTAAATTTTAATCACAGAAATTTTATTTCAAAACGTTTTATCATTATTTTTTCCTACATATTATTTTTAAAAAAAAAAGACCATTCCAACCTTAGAATTGGTCTCTATAAATATATTAATGCATATATCTAAAACACTTAAAAGTTTCATATTTACATGCATAACCCTTAAATCTTTAATATCACGTGAAAATATCCCCATTACTTTTAAAGGTAAAATACACCAATTACATGTTTATAGCACCAAATATTATAAATATAAATGTGAAAAGTTTGAATATTAGATACAGAAATGCATAAAAATTGAGGGGTTTGATGTAAATCTCCCAAAGCATAAATATTCAAACAGTGCTAAGCTTCCTAAATTCAAAATCAAACTTAAATGTACATATGATAGAAAATATATGCCATAAATTTCTCAATTATTAAAACTCAATTCCATGAAGTGAAGAAATATCAAAGCGACATTATACCTCACAAGAAATTGAAGAAGATGAGCCGCACCCGTACCAATGCTAGTGGAGGCCTCTGAAAACAAAAAATAAATAAAATAAATAATATATATATATATATATATATTCATAACATTCAAATTTTTAATATGTTAATATCACATAACGAAAATATAATAGATACATTTTAAAAGTGAATTTATGACATCAAAGTGTTAGAATTGTAAATACATAACAATTGTGTGGCTTGTATATTTCTACCATATAAAACACATTTAAAATATATTAATTTAACGGTTTAATTATAAAGTTAATAAACATATTTAAAGAAACTAATCACACAAATAAAATAATTTCTTATTATTTTTATTCTAATTTCTAATTTCTATTATTTTATTATAATAATTATTTGAATTATAATCATTTTCTCTCTTTCATAATAAATGAGCTGGCTCATGAGTTGAATAAAAATCATAAAATGTAGCCCGAGCCCTAAATCACACTCAATTGATTAATTAAGCTTAGGAACTGTCTGGAGTTTTTTGAAATAACAGCACTAAGTCTAAGTAACAAAACTCAGCTTTCAGCTGCAGCTTTTTGAAAAAGCAAGAGAAAAAGAGAAAAACACTTTCGTCAAACACGTCAAACAAAAAAAAAAAAACTGTGTTGTGGCACTACAATTTCCGAGCAGGTTAAACTAAGACGTTCTATGTTTGCCTCGATATATACAGCAGCTGGTGGTGCAAAAAAACTAGCCCTTGGATTCATGGCAGCTAGAATGCATGCAGAAGAAGTAGAACGCCTGATCATGACAACACTTGGAAAATGATCTCTAGTAAACAAAGCATGCAAATTTTGATACACCAAATAAATATTGGTAAATTTACATGCATACCACACAATTCTTAAGTATTTACATATCTAACACCTAAGGTTTGATACTTCCATTTATAACACTTTCATATCATGATCACAAATCTATGCATGAAAGGCGTATTTTTAAATTAAAAAAAAAGCTGATAATTGTTGCAATTTGACGGGATGTTAAATTTTTTAGAGTTGTGCATATAAATATCAAAGTTTAAGTGTCAAATATGTACATAAGTTAAGTGACAAGTATGTAAATCCCCCATAACTTTTTAATGGGCATTTTCATACATACCGCCCAATTCCCCTATGTGTTTACACATAATAATTAAAGTTTATACATTTATAGCACACAAAATTTTCAATGGCCATTTTCATACATACCACTATTTTAACTTTTAAAATGTAAAATACACCTTTCAGCATATATACATGTCAAAATTGAAGTTTAGGTGTTAGATATGTAAAGACGGGGGAATTGAGTGGGTATGTATGTAAATCTTTCATTTTTAACACAGAAGTCGTTACATAACAAATCTGAAGTGTAGTACAAGGTTTAACCATAGAGTGAAACTTATATGAACCCATTTAACTGAACCAGAAAATTAAAATCATAATTCTCATGAAACGACTGAGAATGCAACAATATTTACTAAACTACCAAGACACCAATTATCAGGGGGATCATGAGGGCTCAACTGTAATTAATAGAAATAACAAGCAGCAGTTTGCATAATGAACAACTAACCTTATCACTGTCTCCTTCCTCTTCCTTTCTTGGAAACTTGTTGCTCAGCAGGTTCCTTGCCTGTAACCTCTGCTATGTCCACTGCAAAGTTAAGAACAAGCAGTGGTAATTCATGTGGCAGCTCATTAATGGTGAGGAAGAAAAGATTTGAAGATAAGATGAGGAAGAGTACCATCTGGGCCTCGGACCATGAGAGTGAAAAAGATATTGTTGAGTTTTTCCATCTTCTTTACGTCTTGGGCCTGCTCGGTTTTAAATTTTACGCACTGCAACAAGCGGGAATGAAGTTGGTGAGACTGATTGAATATAGATGTTAAGGTGGTGTTTGGTTTTGATGTATTGGAGGTTATGTAAATTAAATTGATTTCATTATTTCATGAGTTTTTTGGTTCTAACATAATTGTACAGAAACTGGATTTAGCATGAACTTCTCTGGGAATTTTTTTCTCTTTTCTTTTTTTTTTTTTTTTTTTTGAAGATGTTCATTTGGTGCGTTTTAATTTGCTTTTTTAAAAAAAAAAAACAAATGAACATGTTTTTTAGAAGTCAGAAGTAATTTTAAATATTTTTAAGTGTTTTTAAGAACAATTGTTTTAATCGAACATACTAAATGTATTTTGTTTCAAATCAAAGTATAAACAAAACCTTAAAAAAATAAAAATAATAATAATTATAATAAAAAGTAGTCCCAAACGACCTCTAAAAATGTGGACAACTTTTTTCTTTTTTCCATTGATCGTACCTAAAACCAATGAAAAATATGAAGAAAATTTATAAAATCGCCATTGAGATTCACGTCTCATAAAAAAAGAACTTCTTCAATTTCTTCTTAGAAAAATAAATAAATTCTTCACTTAATCCAAATAAGTGGGTGAAAATGATATCCAATTCGAAAGGAATAAAAAGATAATGTGTTCACAGGACAGGCCATTTCCATAGTTCAAATGTGTTACCATAAGGTGATAATGCACAAACTAATCATTACTTCAAGCAGGCCTTAAGATCATTACAAGGCCAAACCAATGAGAGAGAGACCGAATATTGTGAGAGAAAGAGAACGAAAAATAGAAACAAAGATGAGAAAATTTCATCATTCAGTTTAAAATACAAAAATCACATGAAAACAGACTTTAAAAGATGAACTCAAATATAACTTGAATTCAAAATTACTTTTATCAAAATCCTAAATAACTTAAATTTGAAATCAAATATAATTCAAAAGAATAATTAAATATAATTTTTAATTAAAACAAAGCTAAAAAATCCGAATTAAATGCTTGCAATGAATCTTAAACCCATTTTTTTTTTTTGCATCAAATTTCCCGGCCAACAACCAAAATCAATCAACGATTACCAAAAATGATACAAACACGGGCTTGTAGGCTTTGAAAAGAGCTCATGAGCTTCTAGTGCAATTCTCTTTCTTCTCACTCTTATACAGTTTTGAAAAAGAATAGATGACCAATAAGAAATTTCAAAAATTGATTATGATAAGGTTGCAGAGATTTCCTCAGCTAAATGTTAAAGTTGGTCTAGGCTTCTTTAAGTTCTATGGGATCAATACTCCTTGTGGGCGCAAATTCACATGATTAATTACATCTCGGGTCCAATGTTCGAGAGCTCTAGATTAGGGGTTGTAAGCCAGCTTTATTAAATTCTACCAAGCAAACTACTATCCTCCATGCATATGGCAAAACTATCCAAAAATATACACAATATAAGATCCACCATCTGAATGCTTCCACTCTACCTACTTTTGCCTGAATGGAACAGCAATGGGAAACAATGGAAATATCACCCTTCGTCGACTCCATGCCATATCTTGCTTACTCTATCTTATAGAACATGCTCATTGCCTATGCTAGAGCTTGTCTTCTCTCCTATCTAGCTCCCCACTCACATCAATGCCCTCATCCTCCTTCACCACATTGCTCAAATCTATGCCCTCATAAACTCCCTCTAGAGGTGTCAAAAATTGATCTAAAACGCCAACTCCAACTCAACTAAAAAAATCAGGGTTCGATTGGAGCCAAATAATATTCGGATTGGGTCAGACTCAAGAATCTTATCCCGTTTAATTTTTCGGGTTGATCAGCCAACCTAAAATTGGCCCAAAATTAAACTGCTAAAGCAAAATTGACTCATTGAGTCCATCCTTAACAAGATCATCATGAACCTTCACCTAAGCCCACCATGTCCAACCAACTCCATGATGTTTTGGCCATCTCCCCCTTAATCATCAGCTACCATCCTATGTTCCTTTCATTCTTCATCTCCCAGAACACTACAAGATCAACTCAATGGGAAGGATTTTAGAGGGATGAGTTAAAATCAAGACAATCAGAAGTAATATTGAAATATGTTAAACCTAATCAATTCACTGTTGCACTCAACAATAGCCTTCGAAGTTTCTTTCACTCCATTACATCTCCTTTTTCACGTTTTGTCAACTTCTTATTAATGCTTGATATCATGACATTGCCATGAAATTTGGTTGACATGGCAAATTGCTCTATTGAAGTTAGCTATGGATAAGGGTATGGGTATAATTTGCTGAAATGTGCGGATGTTGGAGTTTAATGGAGGAGTGAAAGAAGATCTCTTGCAGTAGGTGGCATGCAGGGCTGTTGAAAATAATATATTTAAATCATATATGTAAGATGAAGAAGACCTTATATGGATTAAAATAAGCCCCTTGTGCATGGTATGATAAACTTAATACATTCTTACATAGAAAATGATTTTCTAAAGTTATAGTTAACATGATCTTACTCATTAGAAAGATTGAATTTGATATTTTGATTCTACAAATAAATATTGATGGCATTCCCTTTTGAGCCATGAATGACTAATTGTGCAAGAAATTTTCTAAGAACATGAGTCATAAGTATAGACGATTATGATGAGAAAGTTGACAAATTTTTAGGTTTATGATATCATAATAATTATATAATTAATTTTAAAAGCAGCTAAATGAAACAATCAGTTTAACTATAGATGTTTCTTATCACTCAACGACTTTTTTGTAAGTTGTGCATTCATTAAGTTTCTATAATTTTATTATTGTATGTTTTTTAAGAGTTTGGGAAGAAAAAGCATGTTTCTCAAAATTAAAAACTTGGCAGTTGAACTTATCACTAAATCAATCTTTGAAGATCAAACATTTAAAGCAAATGCCGCTTGAATAAAATGCACAAAAATTCAAATCAGAGGGAATTACTGACACAAATTAACAAGTTTGGTAACTTAATCATTTAATTACAGAAAATTTTCCAACAAGATCGACTACAAAATTCAATTTCGTTAGAGCATACACATTCCTCGTGCCCAAGAACTCGCAGTAAATTAGTGTTTAGTTTCAGGTTTTACATTTTATGTCTACAATCCCTCAATCCGATTCTAACTATTTTGAGTTGTTTTGAGGATATATGTTCTATTCAATTGTGTAAAAATCTACCTCGGGTGTCAAATCAGTTTTTAGTGAAATGTGTTTATTAGTCTTCATCCAAGTTAGTTTCCCTTTCTTACAACCTTGAAAAGGGACCTAGATGCTATCCAACATATATTAGCTCAAATTCATAGTAGTTTAAGAAATTCTCATTTTTTTTTTCCAAAATAATGTATTCTAATATTACTTAAAGACAACAAAAGCTGCCTTGGACGAGTTTCACATTTATTATAACTTGACATCAAATATGCTCTTCACTTGCTGCATTCATATGCCAGCATGGCCTGACAATTTTGGCAGCAATTTTATTAATATATGGCTGGCATTCATTCCTGTCAAGAACTACAACATGTATAAGTCTAGCTCATTGTTTCTAAAAGCATCAACTAAGAATCCTTTTCATCAATGAAGCACAGATACTTCTACCAGACTTTCATCTCTGTAATGGATGCGGACAAAATCAAACACACCCACTTACAATTTTGTCCCTTTTTTTCAAAATCAGAGTTGGACGCAGTTTGGACATGCTTCAAAACTGCTGGAAACGCCCCAGCACAGTTGGATCATTGTGATGATGGTGAATTTGTTATCTCAATAAGTCAACTTAACAAACTTAGTTTTCGTAATGATGGTGAAGTTAAGATTGAAGAGAAAAACTATGTTAATGATGACGATCAAGAAGCCAACAGAAAGTAAAACAGGTTCATGAAAAAAAAATTAGATATTTTGAGAAAAATATCTTGCCATGATATTATCATATTGAATTCAATAATGTTTGTTCTAATTAACCAAAATTATCATAATGGTGTTTAGTATTGTTCATGCATGCAAGAAAATAGAAAACGAATAGATCATATTTATGATTCTAAATTATTCGTAATATTACTCTGCCAGCACTTATTTTTAACCATTAATTTAATATAATATTTTATGTTAAAAATTATTATCTTAAATTAAAATCAACTTAAATCAAAGCTAGCCTATTCCCTTTACTATACATGGGATGATCGACACTATTTGGAAACATAAATCAATTCCACCTTAAAAGGAACATCCTACCTGATGAGAAAGCAACTTTGGACACGTAGATCTTATTCAAATTCAAATTTTGGAGGCAAAACTTTTTGAAAAATTGGGATTTCGACCAAGGATATTAAATTATGCAAGGAATGAATAATATCATGTCTATCTTATTTTCTCAGTGGGTCTTACAATAATCAAGGAGAGAGGCCTCTTTCAAAACAAGAAGGGATGTCCAAGCAAGAATGAAAAGGACACATGGGATGATTTTCAAATCATTTAAATAAATTCCACAAGCCAAGAACGACTAAACTTGGAGGTAACTTTAAACCAGTGCAAACTTTGAAATTTAAGGAAGATAACATCAAGGAAAAGTTCAAATTCAAAATTCATGCAATGAAAAAAATTAAATTATTCATCTCTTTATATTTTTCATGTAATTTTCTTCTAATGATCGAATTCATCTCTCTCACTCTCTTTTGTAAGGCTATATAAATGTCCCATGTACTCTTGAGATAGAGTTAATGATTAATGAAATCTAGTGAGATAATTATCCTCTTGAAGTCGGAATATGGTCGCTCTTTGGTTTAGGCATGGCTTCATAGACCTCTGGGATGTGGTAGGTGAGCGGTAGGTGAGAAAGTAGGTGAGCGGTATGTGAGATTCTTAATTAAGAAGCTAATTAAATTTTGGTGGACCGGATCTCCACATTACCCAACATCATAACACATATTACATGATAGATATGATTGGATTTTGTTTTCGTATTTTGTAGGAAAGAAATGTTGATTATAAAGT